ACCGGGGATAGGTCAGCAGACAGCGTCGGTACAACTGTACAAGGGAAAAGCACACACAACAACAGCTGTGAGCAGGTGTGTGTGTGTGTGTGTGTGTGTGTGTGTGTGTGTGTGTGTGTGTGCGTGTGTGTGTGTGTGCGTGCGCACGTGTGCGTGTGTGTGTGTGTGCGTGCGCACGTGTGTGTGTGTGTGTGTGTGCGTGTGAGTGTGTGTGTGTATGCATAATTATGTGTGTTGCACAGCTGGTCACTAATAGTTGCAGCACATGGCCCGAACCCTAAAGCCAAAAGGCGTCTGTGGAATTGGCAATGTGGATTGATCAACCTAACAAAAATCTCTATGATGAGAATGATGAAAAATAACAAGAACAAGAACAAGAACAACAAGAAAAAGAACAAGAACAAGAACAACAACATCAACAACAACAACAACATCAACAACAACAACATACAGAGAACGTCCAGGAAGATGGCGGCTCGAGTTGTGTAGGTGGAATTGACGTCGAACTCGATGTTCCTGTTCAGCTCCACCTCATCCGGAGTGACGCCGTTGTATGCCTCACAGAAGTAACCACTGCGATCCTGGCGCGTGATGTTGATTAGCGTGAAGTTTGACGAGACCCGGTAGAAGCCAGTGGGTAGCAGCTCAACAGAGCTGTCGCCATCGGCCACAAGAGGTTTATCGGCAAAGCCAGCCAAGTACCAGGAGATGGATGCAGCTGGAGTGCCCTCGAACGTGCAGCTAAGCGTGAAGGTGTCGGTCTCGTTCACTTTGGTTGTGGCAGTTCTGTAAACGTTCCGTGGCGGTGCTGCAGACGAAGAAGCAAGGAAACACAACACACAGCAGGTGTTCTACCAGAGGTTTAACATGGCATTCACATCGCCACAGTGCTGAGAGGGATCGGTCCAAAAGACATTCTGTGAATAATACTCCAATGTGGACGTGTCTATGGGTCACTTAAGACTAGCACTGCTAGCATGAAAGCTTGCATTATTTAAAACTGCACACTGTACATGAAAACAAGAGTGTGCAGCTCGGATGGATTGCTGTCACAGCGGAATTCCGTGATTACATCATTATAGTGACGTAGTGCGTACAAGCAGGATTCAAGCAGGTCTCTTTCTGCACAACTGTAGCTCAGTTGTACGCACTACGCCACTTCCCGCCTCAAATCTGTGCCAAATATGATGTAATCACGGAATTCCGCCGTGACAGACACCCATAGTAGAAAATGCCTCAAGCTGCACACTCTGGTTTTCATGTACTCTTGTCCTTACCCAATACGGACGCAGACAGGGTGGTCGTGTTGACGGTGTTGAACGGGTTGCTGAATATGCAGTGATACTGGCCGACATCGCTGAACGACACATTCGGCAGCAACAGGACACTACGTGTGGTGTGCATTGCCCTGTCAAACGTTGTGTTCACAAGAGCCGCCGAGGAGAAAGACTCGGCCGTGCTAAACCAGGTGACATGCGGCAGTGGGTTACCGCGAGCATGGCACTCCAGCTCAGCCTGACCCCTTGCAGGGAATGTGCGGGCCGCAGGAAGGTCACGGGTGACGAAAGCGCTCGCTGCAGAACACAACAGAACAACCAATGTCAAAATAGAGAGAATGAACAGCTGGAGCACCATGCGGTCAATAAAGGCAACAACGTTCAGCCAAGCAGCCAGCCATCCCTCCCTTCAACACCTGTTCCAAATGGGAGGAAAGCCTTCCTTCTCCACGTGTTAGCCTTTCATCTACCTCCTCCTAACCTCCACATATTCCCATTCATTCTTGCCCTCCTCTTTCTTTCTTCTCCAAATCACCATTATGAGAACAGTAGCAATCATGAAATGAAGATGAACAAAGGCAGTGGGCAAAGCAGAAAGCATGTAGCAGAATACAGAGTAGCGGCAGTGTCTTACTTTGCACGTTGATGGTGAGTATGGCGGTGGAGGTGTACTGGCTGTCACCTACGTAGTCGGTTCCTTCTTGAGAGTACGGCACTCCATTGCTGGCCTCGCACAGGTACGTGTCAAGTCGGTCGGCTACGGTAACGTTGGAGATGCTCAGCGTGTAGTTCTGCTCGTATCCGCCAAAACCGGGAATGGCGTCGGACGCGTTGTCCCTGTCCAGGCGGATGCGACCGCCCTCGGTGATCACGCTCCCGTTGCCGTAGCGCCACACCAGGCTGTCAAGCGTGGGTCGGCTGTGAACGGTGCATACCACCTCCAGTGTGCTGTTGGCAGTCACGTTGTTGCTGCTCAGGGCCACACGTGGCGAGGCTAATAAAGCGGGATATCACACAGCATAATGGCAAGAAGGCAACGGCAATATTTCTCAAGCGCAGTCAGGAGATCTTGGGTAAACAACGGCACTAGCATAACACCACCACCAACAACAACAACAGCAGCATCAGCAACAGCAGCAGCAGCAGCACCAACAACAACAGCAGCAGCAGCAGCAGCACCAGCAGCAGCAAGAGCAGCAGCAAGAGCAGCAGCACCAACAAGCCCTCTGTGAGTAGCAAGTCACGCAATCCTGTGCTATTTGTGCCTCTCCTCATATCCTGATTGCATCAGGCTACCAATGGATTGTGCAGCATGAGAAAAATGGGCCAAAGCAGCAGCAGCAGCAGCAGCAGCAGTACCACATCCATTGGCACACCTGCAAGCACCAAACAATAGGCCCATTTCTCATCGTCTAATATGGAAGGTATGAGCAATGTATGATGTGATCAGCGATGTACTGTTCAACACCCCAGACGACCATGCCCAGGTGGCTGTGTGGGGTGTTCACGGTACAACATGCGTCATTGCGCAATAGACTTATTAGAAAAGCGGACCCGTACTCACCCACGACGTCGACGTAGAAGCTGGACGAGAAATGGTTGGGCGCGGAGACGACATTGCCTGCCTCGCAAGTGTAGCGGCCGATACTGCTAAACTGTACGGGAATGGTGTAGACATCGGCGACCCCTGTCACACTCGACACTGGACCGTCCGTGGCGAATTCCAGAAGCTCCGACCGGGCATAGGTAGGCAGAGGAACGGCAGCACACTGGCAGCTGACATTGATGAAGCGCGGCTGTTCTCCGACCAGGACCAGGGTACGATTAACCGGTGCAACACACTGCTCTGGAGGATCTGCTCACACAGATAAACACAGATAAACACTCATTACCCGGACTATAATTATCACTATATTATCACTATATTATCACCATATTATCGCTACGAGTATGTTATCACTATAACTTAGAAGCGGAGGTACCTGGAGGTCCCCGGAGGTCCCTGGTTCCAGTCCTGGTGGTGACAGTCATTTGTTTCTTCTCGTTTGCATCTTTTCCCCTCAAACCAATGAATATAACCAAGAGTACATAAACCAGAGTGTGCAACTGTGCATATCAGATCTGAAACAGCGCAGTTCGTGCACTACGTCACCCTGATGAGGTCAGCCAAGCCGCGACTTGCGTACAGCTCAAATTTTCGAGGTTTCAACGCCCGGAAATCAGCCAAGTTTGTATGATTTTAGACGTCCTGTTTTAGGATTCTGGTATTATTGTGTGATTGTGTACACTGCGTCCATCCGCTGGCAAGTAAATTCACCAGGCTATCCGTATCAAAAAACCGAAATCAGGACAAGCTCAGTGACCTGCACCACCGTGACTGGTTACGCAACTTTTTACCATACTTGATGCTTACCATGCCGTCAGAATTGACGTACTGCATGGATTACGCTCCCACAGGAACCATCCTGAGTTGCACAATCTGGTTTATGTACTGATATAACCTAGAACCTTCCAAGGCCGTTGAAGTCCGCACCCAAGGCGTGCAAGTCGTGCAATGCTATCGTATGAGCTGATTGTCAAGTACCTGGTGGTGTTAGTGGACATTATAACGTAACTTGTAGTTCCTTGGTCCTTTTCTTTACTAAACTCATTACTCTCCCTATATCTATAGATTACTACACTTTGGTGCATGCATTAGAATTCTGATATATAGTCGACTGTCGTAAGCAGGTATGCACTCACACATCCGCTTGCATGTAGCTCAAACAGCAAGTCATTTCCAAGAGAGCTTCCAAATGTGCTTCCAGAAAGTGCGGAGTGCAAGAAAACAGGAATTGTAATATTCATGTATGCACAGCGTGGTGAAAAGACGGACAATGTTGCAGGCTGAATCAAGCACCATGCGAGAAGTTCAGCCCTGGTCTCCTACACACTAAATGTAGGTTGTACTGTAGTGGCGAGTGCAAGTACCGTAAAGTACCGTTGATCCGCCCCCTCTCTAAATGCCGCCCCACTGTCGATTTTCTGAACGTGAAGCGACTTCGGCGTATGCAACGAAATACGATGTTGAACCGACGCACGCACTGCTGTACACAATACGTGCCAATCCAGGATGAAAATGTGCACAATCCAGCACATCGAGTCTGAACTTCCACGTTGTTGTACATCGTACTGCACTTGACAGCCCTGATCTAATTCCCGCCCCCTGCCGAAAACCCAGCTGGGAAGCGACATGGCGTGGGGGGGGGGGGGGGCGAATCAACGGTACTTTACGGTACCCCCCCCCCCCAAACACAGGCAGTAGAAAAGACAGTACACACTCTCACATTGAGCAGTGAGAACAACATCCAGACTGGCGTTGTTGTAGGCGGCAACGTCAGGGAACTGGTTCCACGCGTGGCACGTGTACACGCCAGAGTCCCGGCGGTTCACCTGGTCAAAGTTGTACGTTGCAACGGTGCGTTGAAGTCCGGCGGCTGTGATGTTGGAACCATTCGTGCTTGTCAGTAGCAGAGCGTCGCGGAGGATGGATACAGTCGGGGCTGGATTACCGTTAGCTGTGCAGTTGAGCTGGGCAGGGGTACCCTCACGTTCAGTCACATCGGAGAAGGACACTTGCGGCACGGCTGAAAGCATACCACACAAAAAAGCAGCAATGCATATCGGCACATGTGAACAAGCCATTCGCAACTGCTGGCCACTCGCGCACATGGGAGGGAAGTG